TGACCCAGAAATCTTCAATCGGATCTCCTTAAATTTTGGCAAAATTAAAAAACGAAAATAATTAATAAAATCTAAAATATATATACTTTCTCAACTAATTACTATATTTAAACGCTTTATTTATGGTATATTCTACACGATTTTTATAGATAAAGAAATCAAATATGATGATTTAATGCTAATATAACAAATTTGCACTAATTTCCTAAAACCTCTCTACCTAATTTAAACATAAATATATGATTCTTATTTCACTTTTATTTGATCTTATATTTATATTATTTTAAATTATTATAAAATATATAAATAGTTAGTAAATTTTAGTTTTTTTTTTCTGCATATGTTACAATTCAAATTTTTTAAAACGGACATATATTACTCAATCGATGAATAAAAATATGTGTGTAATCTATATTAACATTTTTAAGAACAAATTGAGCATTTGATCATGTCGTTATTTTATTCAGACCCGAAATTGAGTCATTCGGATCTTTTTTTAATTTTTACAATTATCTAAAATGGGACAGTATATCACGGGTGAAATCCTAATTAGTATTTTAAGATACAATTATAAATTGTTTTTACGGGTTGGTTCAAAAACACACATAATTTAGTCATTTTGTACATAAAAGGGGTATTTTTAAAAATGGACATCCAAAGGGGGCATTTTTGAAAAAGGGTATTGAAAAAGGGGCATTTTTGTGAGTCTCCCTTTTAGATTATATGGTTGGACGGGTTTGGGTCAATATTAATACGAGACAATATACCACAGGTGAAATCCTATAAATAACAAATCAAAATACAATTATACAATCTTAAACACTAAACAAAACAAATACAACTTAAAATTTTTTATTTTAGATACAACGCATGTGACCCGTGGTATACAACAAAAAATATTATACACAAATTCATCAATTTATAAAAATAAAAAAATCAAATAATTAACCCGCGGTGTACCGCGGGTCATATCCTAGTAGTATGTTAAGAACGAAATATGGAGTTTGATGTTAAAGGAAAAAACTAAGAAAATGGTACCCAAAGCAAGAATCGTTATATTCCTACACATGGCGCCCATGGAGAAGAAGAAGCAAGCAAGCAGTAGCCTGATTGGAAACTGATATTCGGCCTCTCTCCCACCTTATTAGTACGTAATAAAATGGGAAAAATGCAAATTAAATGCTGAACTTTTTCATTACGTCATTTTTAATCTCAAACTTTTTCTGAAACGATTTAAATGTTGAATTTTTTTTGACTTTCCATTTAAATGCCAAACTTTGTTTGACTTTGCCATTTAAGACCTTGCGTTAAGTCGATTAACGGAGTAATTAAACGCTGATTAAATGCCGTTAACAGCTAAATTGAATTAAAACAATGTTGTTTCTAACATACATCAACGACGTCGTTTTCTCAATTTACAAAACCCAAATTCGATTTCATTTGCCCCAAATCAAAAAATCCCCAAATTCATAACCCTAGAAATTGATTACACTTCGACGGCACACCACGGACTCCGACAACGTTCGATGTTATAGAACTTGAACTCATTATAACAAGTTGAGAGAATCACAAGAATGAATCCAAAAGAGAATAAGTAAATCCCAGAAGAGAATGAAAGAAATCTGAAGCTTTCGATTTCTAGGGTTATGGGTTTGGAGATTTTTCGATTTAGGGCAAATGAGTTTGATTGGGGTTTTGTAAATTCAGAAAACGACGTCGTTTATGTGTATTAAAACGGCATCATTTTAATTTAAGAGGAGCTGTTAACGGTATTTAATCAGCGTTTAATTGTTCCGTTAATCGACTTAACGTCGGATCTTAAATGGCAAAGTCAAACAAAGTTTGACATTTAAATGGAAAGTCAAAGAAAATTTAGTATTTAAATCGTTTCAGGCAAAGTTGGGAATTAAAAACGATGTAATGAAAAAGTTCAGCATTTAATTAACATTTTTCTCGTAATAAAATTGGGAACACCAACTTATATCAAGGGAAGTAAGTCTATGGCTTGTAATCATGACAACGTTCTCATGATGAGGGCACCCAAAGTGTACGTCTCATATTATCTATCTATCACCACTTTTTTGTCTTTGCAGCTGTTTCACATAGTTTTACTTTGGGAAAAATGTCGTTTTATCTCCCAACTTTCAAAAAGTGGCCAATCAATACGTCAACTTCATATGTGGCCATTTAAAACATGAAATAAACGTTGACTAACGTATGAGACATGGAACTTCGTTGACCAGGCCAAAATAGACATGCCGTTATCAGTCGTTAACGGAACTTCTAACGCCCGTTATCACCCGTAACGACTCTGTTAATCAACTTTCAAATTGTGGCCATTTTAAACATCAACTTCATATGTGGCCATTCAAAACATGAACTAATCGTTGACTAACATTTGAAACATTAGAATTCGTTGACCAGGCCAAAGTAGACATGTCGTCATCATTCGTTAACTGAACCTATAACATCCGTTATCACCCGTTAACGACACTGTTAGTATGTCCAAAAAGATTTTTCCCAAATGAAAACACCAAATCCCCAAATCTATTTCTACAACAGCTCAAACAAGATGAATAGTCCTATTATCTCTATCTGCATTTCAGAAAAGCTACATTTAGTCTAGGCCTGGGCATAATACCCGAACTCGAAGAACCGAACCGAACCCGACCCGAAAAATCCGACCCGAACCCGAACCCGAAGTTTTAAAATACCCGAACGGATTCTAAACTTGACAACCCGAAAAACCCGAACCCGACCCGAACTCGAACCCGAACAAGTACCCGAACATACCCAAAATATAAGTACATAGTTATAATATATTAGTAATATTTATACTTGTAATAACCTAAGTGCCAAAATTATTCGGATGTTAAGATATTCGGGTGTTTTAGCTACTTTGGGTTAGATTCGGGTTAAATATTTGGGTTTTATAGATTTTTTGATTATTTTTCAATACTTTGCATAGGTCGGATACAAAATTTCTAATATTTGGATACTTTGGGTAAACCTGAATCCGAACCCGAAATACCCGATCCGAACCCGACCCAAACCCGAAGTTTTAAAATACCCGAATGGATCTTAGTTTTCTAAACCCGAAAAACCCAAACCCAAAAAACCCAACCCGAACCCGACCCGAATATCCGAACGCCCATGCCTATTTTAGTCCTATGATGGGTCTACAAGTTTGCTTCCATGATTCCTTTTTAGATTTAAAACAAATATATAAACAATGTTTGCTTCCAATTACTGGCTCTACGATTGTCTATATATCAAACCATGTCCTTGGATTATGCTTTAAACAAAAAATTTGTCCTGATTTTCTCTTGATTATTTTCAAAACGACGTCGTTTTGGATATACTAACAGAGTCGTTAACGGGTGATAACGGATGTTATAGGTTTTTTTAACGAATGATGACGACATGTCTATTTTGGCCTGGTCAACGAATTCTCATGTTTCAAATGTTAGTCAACGATTAGTTCATGTTTTAAATGGCCACATATAAAGTTGATGTTTAAAATGGCCATAATTTGAAAGTTGATTAACAGAGTCGTTACGGGTGATAACGGGCGTTAGAGGTTCCGTTAACGACTGATAACGGCATGTCTATTTTGGCCTGGTCAACGAATTTCCATGTCTCAAACGTTAGTCAACGTTTATTTTATGTTTTAAATGGCCACATATGAAGTTGACGTATTGATTGGCCACTTTTTGAAAGTTGGGAGATAAAACGACATTTTTCCCGTTTTACTTTAAATACAGTATGAGAACAGGGAACACTTTTTATATGAGTATTCATCATTCCATGATATAAGTTAAGGGTTCCAATACCTGGTCCAACTGTCTTAATAGACTTTTCTACCTCTCGAGTTAATAATGGGGAGCCTTGACTCTTATTCATCTTTCTTAATCATTTCGAGCAACTCTCAATGCAAGACAAATCTCACTCCACTTTTTGTTTGTTACCTTATTATTATTATTATTAATATTATTATGATATTTCTTCTGCTGATCTTGTCAACAAAATACTAAACTTTTCCTGCGCGGCTGTTTATATATTACAGCTGTTATCAAAGGTTTCGGCGTGTCTCTTGTTTAACTAGACTCAAATTATATACATATATATATATATATATCTTAAACTCGATTTTCTCAACCAAATTAAATTTAGAAGATTCTACTTGTTATAACTCATCAGAGATTCGTAGTATCCTGAGGATTTTCTTTCCAATGAATTTTGTCTTTTCTTTGCCCAAAAAAAAGAAGAATTTATCTTTTCTCAACGCATGTATCTTGTGTAAACTGGTGAAGGCCGTGGATACGTCATCAAAATACTTGTGATCGAAGCATATGAACCTACATCAATAATTTCATTTCCAATAAGTCCTAGTCTAACGGATTCTCTATTAAAGATTGAACAACTTTGAGTTTTAAAATAAACTACTTTCAAGAAAACAAAAATAGCAGGGTACGACAGGATGACCATATATTTTACTGCAAGATGTTAGAACAAGCATAATTCACAACGAAAACTGAATATGTCTCTGTAAAAAATAAAACTGTGAAATTTCTATAATTTTGGTCGATTTTCTTGTTTGTTTAACAAAAAAATAAAATGATGTGGATAACTGACATATATTATGTGGTTAGGTGGGAATATTTTAATTATTGTGATATACATATTCAATTGGTTGTATTGTAGGTGTAGGAAATCAACCAATGTAATCTTCCAGAAATACTAGTAGTATGCTTAAAAAGCTGATTTTCGAATGAGCACAAGGATTATTAGTAAATGTAGAAGATATGATAAACACGTGAATCGCAGAGTTTCAATCATATTATATTCATTAGAAATGTAATGATAAAAAGTGGTGGAGATGAGATAGTCAACTTTTCTTTTTGTTTCTTTTTTGTTGCAACGTCATTGTTGTTACACTAGTCAGACGATTGTGTGATAATCGTTACCTTCTAACGACAGAGGTTCTTTCTTATATTTCCAAGTTCAACCGAACCGATAATTCAGAGGAATTTTCTACTCCTCTCTCTCTCTCTCTCTCTCTTATTTTTTTGTTTGTTCTGGGAAAATGTGGTTGCTTTCGTCTTCTTCTTCTTCTTCATGGCTCTCTGAGCTCTCCTGTTCATCGTCGGCGGTTATAGAACCTACATCATCTTCAGTCCCAGTAGCAATCCAATGGCTCAGATTTCTTTTACTCTCTCCTTGCCCCCAACGTGCTCTCTTCTCCGCCGTTGATTTTATTTTCCTCCTCGTCCTCCTCTGCTTCGCTCTTCTCAAGCTCTTCTTTTCTTCTTCTTCTTCCGATGAAATCAACGGAAACGCTGAGATTAGGAAACCTCTTATCGGAATCCGTGGAAGAACCCCAACCAGAACAACCGCCTGGTTCAAAACGACTGTCGTAGTCACCCTTCTATTGTCGTTTTGCTCTGTCGTGCTCTGCGTTTTGGCCTTCACTGGCAAGCGACGGACTCAGAGACCATGGAACCTCATAGACCCGCTCTTTTGGCTTATTCACGCCGTCACACACGTCGCCGTCGCCGTTCTCGTCCTCCACGAGAAGAGATTCGCTGCTCTAAATCATCCCTTATCTCTACGAATCTACTGGATTTCGAGTTTTGTCCTCACCACTCTCTTCGCCGTCTCTGGGATTTTCCATTTTCTCTCCGACGCCGCCGCCACGAGTCTGATTGCAGAAGACGTCGCTTCATTCTTCTCCTTCCCGTTAACCGCCTTTCTGCTCATCGCCTCCGTCAGAGGAATCACCGGCCTTGTCACAACGGAGACCAACAGTCCTACGAAACCATCCGACGCCGTTTCGGAGGAGGACAACGTCTCTCTCTACGCATCTGCTTCGGCTTTCTCCAAAATGTTCTGGTTATGGATGAATCCTTTACTCAGCAAAGGCTACAAATCTCCATTGACGCTCGAAGAGGTTCCGACGCTCTCTCCGGAGCACAAAGCAGAGAGGCTCGCGCGTCTCTTCGAATCGAGTTGGCCCAAACCGTCGGAGAATTCGAGCCACCCAGTCCGTACGACTCTACTCCGATGTTTCTGGAAGGAGATCCTCTACACGGCGATTCTTGCCATCGTCCGTCTCGGTGTCATGTACGTTGGTCCCGTTCTCATCCAGAGCTTCGTCGATTTCACCTCCGGCAAGAGATCCTCGTCGTGGCAAGGTTATTACCTCGTCCTCATCCTCCTTGTTGCGAAATTCGTCGAGGTCTTGACGACTCATCAGTTCAATTTCGATTCCCAGAAGCTTGGGATGCTTATAAGGTCAACTCTAATCACTGCACTCTACAAGAAAGGTTTAAAGCTCACCGGCTCTGCGCGTCAGAACCACGGCGTTGGGCAAATCGTGAATTACATGGCCGTAGACGCGCAACAGCTCTCTGACATGATGCTTCAGCTCCACGCAATCTGGCTCATGCCTTTGCAAGTCACTGTTGCACTCGTGCTTCTTTACGGAAGCCTAGGCGCGTCTGTTATAACTGCGGTTATTGGGCTGACCGGAGTGTTCGTCTTCATCCTCCTGGGGACTCAGAGAAACAACGGATACCAATTCAGCTTGATGGGGAACCGAGATTCTCGGATGAAGGCCACCAACGAGATGCTCAATTACATGCGAGTCATCAAGTTTCAGGCTTGGGAGAATCATTTTAACAAGAGGATCCTCAAATTTAGGGACATGGAGTTTGGTTGGCTATCCAAGTTTCTCTACTCCATTGCTGCCAACATCATTGTCCTCTGGAGCACGCCAGTGCTTATCTCTGCGCTCACATTCGCCACCGCCCTTGCCTTGGGAGTCAAGCTTGATGCTGGGACTGTGTTCACCACCACAACTATCTTCAAGATCTTGCAAGAACCCATCAGGACGTTTCCTCAATCTATGATATCTCTCTCGCAGGCAATGATCTCTCTAGGGAGACTGGACTCATACATGATGAGCAAAGAGCTGTCCGGAGATGCTGTGGAGAGAGCCCTGGGTTGTGATGGTAGTACTGCCGTAGAGGTCAGAGATGGAAGCTTTAGTTGGGATGATGAGGACAACGAACCTGCTCTCAGTGATATCAACTTTAAGGTTAAAAAAGGGGAACTCACTGCGATAGTTGGAACTGTTGGTTCAGGGAAATCTTCCCTGTTAGCTTCGGTTCTCGGCGAAATGCACAGAATCTCAGGCCAGGTGTGGCTTTTCTCATGTAGCTTAAAGTATCAGAGAACTAACATTCGCAAGATCGATTGATTCAATACTAGTTTATTTGTAGGTGAGGGTTTGTGGGAGCACAGGCTATGTAGCGCAGACATCGTGGATCGAAAACGGGACGGTTCAAGACAACATCTTGTTTGGTCTTCCAATGGTTAGAGAAAAGTACACCAAAGTTCTCAATGTCTGTTGTCTTGATAAAGACCTACAAATGATGGAGTTTGGGGATCAGACTGAGATTGGAGAACGTGGAATCAACCTCAGCGGAGGGCAGAAGCAGCGTATACAGCTCGCACGCGCGGTCTATCAGGAATGCGATGTATACTTGCTGGACGATGTTTTTAGCGCTGTGGATGCTCATACCGGTTCAGATATATTCAAGGTAATAAAAGACCTTAAAACTCTTGATGTATTATTATTATTCACTTTAAAATGATACACTTGTTGATTCTTCTTCTTGTGATGTTTTTGCAGAAATGTGTAAGAGGAGCTCTGAAAGGCAAGACCATATTGCTCGTAACCCATCAAGTGGATTTCTTGCACAACGTCGATTGCATCTTGGTATACTAATGATTCAGACATTTATTTTTTATTAAAATCAAGAAATTGGAACTTGTGCTTACGAGATGGAATTTCAGGTGATGCGGGATGGAAGGATTGTTGAATCAGGAAAATACGATGAATTAGTCAGCTCCGGGTTGGATTTTGGGGAACTCGTGGCTGCACATGAGACATCAATGGAGCTAGTTGAAGCCGGTGCAGACTCTGCAGCAGCAGCAACAATCGCGACATCCCCAAGAACACCAATGTCTCCCCATGCAAGCTCTCCTAGAATGTCAATGGACTCTCCTCACTTAAGTGATCTAAACGATGAACATGTCAAGTCATTTCTCGGTTCTCACGCCGTAGAAGATGGCTCGAAGCTCATCAAAGAAGAAGAAAGGGAAACCGGACAGGTCAGCCTGGGAGTTTACAAACAGTACTGCACTGAGGCCTATGGCTGGTGGGGAATTGTCCTTGTTCTGTTCTTCTCTCTGACGTGGCAGGGTTCTCTAATGGCCAGCGATTACTGGCTTGCGTACGAAACATCTGCCAAAAATGCAATTTCATTTGATGCTTCCGTTTTCATTCTCGTATACGTGATTATTGCACTTGTTTCCATCATTTTGGTGAGTCTCCGGTCATACTACGTCACCCACTTGGGACTCAAGACGGCTCAGATCTTTTTCCGACAGATTCTTAACAGTATCTTACACGCTCCCATGTCATTCTTTGACACCACACCATCGGGAAGAATTCTCAGTCGGGTGAGACAACTTTTCGCCATATTAGTTCGTTTAACTAATTTTAGCAGAGATCTTAAAAGGTTTTTCTCTTTGGAACTTTGCAGGCATCGACTGATCAGACCAATGTCGATATCCTTATTCCGTTTATGCTCGGACTTGTGGCCTCAATGTACACCACTTTGCTTAGCATTTTCATAATTACTTGCCAGTACGCTTGGCCAACTGCATTCTTTGTGATTCCCCTTGGCTGGCTTAACATCTGGTACCGGGTATGTATCTCTTTGATTTCATGTTCTGATTTTTTGTTTGTTTATGTATGATGTTCTAAATGTCACTTTGCTTATGATCTTCAGAACTATTACCTCGCTTCTTCCCGGGAATTAACACGCTTGGACTCGATCACTAAGGCTCCCATCATCCACCATTTCTCAGAGAGTATAGCTGGAGTGATGACAATCCGATCATTCAAGAAGCAGGAGTTGTTTAGGCAAGAAAATGTGAAGCGTGTAAATGCCAATCTCAGGATGGACTTCCACAACAATGGCTCCAACGAATGGCTCGGGTTTCGGCTAGAGCTGATTGGGAGCTGGGTGCTCTGCATCTCGGCTTTGTGTATGGTATTGTTACCCAGCAATGTTATCAGACCTGGTACGGATCACTAAACACTCTTTTCAGTAGTTGATATCATTATTCCCTTGAGGCAATTAGTCATATGGAGTTTCTTTGGGTCTGATGCAGAGAATGTAGGGCTGTCCCTTTCGTATGGACTGTCCCTGAACTCGGTTCTGTTCTTTGCCATATACATGAGCTGCTTTGTCGAGAACAAGATGGTTTCTGTTGAAAGGATCAAACAGTTCACTAATATTCCCTCTGAATCCGAGTGGGAGAGAAAAGAAACCCTTCCACCTTCGAATTGGCCCTTCCATGGCGATGTACATCTCGAAGACCTCAAGGTGAGTCAAAGAAACCAAAACAGCTTCCTGATTAAAACTCACCTTTACTGTTCAAACTTGTGAAGGATGATGTGTGTTGTAAACAACAGGTGCGCTACAGACCAAACACTCCACTTGTGCTCAAAGGAATCACTCTTGACATCAAAGGAGGAGAGAAGGTTGGTGTGGTTGGACGAACGGGAAGCGGGAAATCGACTTTGATCCAAGTCTTGTTCAGGCTCGTAGAACCATCAGGAGGGAAGATTATCATAGACGGGATTGATATAAGCACTCTAGGGCTACATGATCTCAGGTCAAGATTCGGAATCATTCCGCAAGAACCTGTCCTCTTTGAAGGAACCGTGAGAAGCAACATCGACCCAACGGAGCAATACTCCGACGAAGAAATCTGGATGGTGATGATAGAACCTAATTTTGCCTCTTGATCTTATAAGCTAGAACCATTGTTTTTTTACATATAACCAACATCTATTTTTCGTTGCTCAGAGCCTCGAACGATGCCAACTCAAGGATGTTGTTGCTACCAAGCCTGAGAAGCTCGATTCTTTGGGTGAGTATTATTGATATGTATCAATGGAGCTAGTGTGATCCTCTGTAGTTACATTTTCTCAATAATGTTTGAGTTTGATATCTATCATCCACAGTGGTTGATAATGGGGAGAACTGGAGCGTAGGGCAGAGGCAGCTTCTGTGTTTAGGCAGGGTTATGTTAAAACGTAGCAGACTTCTCTTCCTAGACGAAGCAACCGCATCCGTTGATTCCCAAACCGATGCCGTGATTCAGAAGATCATTAGAGAAGACTTCGCGTCTTGCACCATAATCAGCATCGCCCACCGGATTCCTACTGTGATGGACGGCGATCGAGTCCTGGTCATTGATGCTGGTAATTAGAGAAACAAACTTGTCATGTTTTCCTCAATTTTACTGTAATTTGAAAATCATGAATAATTATATACAGGAAAAGCGAAAGAGTTCGATAGCCCCGCTCGTTTGCTGGAGAGACAGTCTCTGTTTGCCGCGCTAGTGCAAGAATACGCTCTCCGATCTGCCGGAATATGAAACTTTTACGCCGGCCGGGACTGAAAATATCTCAAAACCTTCACATGAGAATTGTATTAAGGGAAGGAAAATCTTGTAATCGACTCAAAATGTTTTAGATTAAAACGACATCGTTGTTTCAGTGCAGTAACCCTTGTTTGAAAAATCGTTAGGTACTAGTCGGACGTTCGGTATGGGTCTAGCGATTAATCGGAAAATTGGATTAAAATCGGAGATTAGTTTTAGGGTTATTTAATATATTTATCGCAGTAAACACATAAAACTATATTTTGAGATAACTTTTTATGAGTTTTATTACAAATTTATGATCTTTATTAAACTTTGAACATAAATTATTGTAAAACATCACAAACTCCCAATTTAAATGATTAAAAAATAAAAAAAATTTATACTTACAATATAAAAATAATCGGGATATGTAAAATTAGGCGGAGAGTAATCGGATTAGGCGGGAAGTAATCGAATTAGGCGGAGAGTAATCGGGTAACTGATTTCTTTAGGGGATTAGTCATTAATCGAAGCAGATAAAGTGGGCCTACAGATTAAGCGGAAAGTAATCGGTGTAGACGGGGATTTTTAGAACAGGGGCAGCAACACAATAAATTTTTTAACTCGCTAATTAACTACTTAATCAACCAGTCCAGTAGTTCACCAACACGTGGATTTTAACCCTTTTTTTTAGAATACAATTTTTTAAAATAAATATCAAATAAAATGAAACAAAAAAAAACATCTAATTATCTTATAAAATAGACCAATAGAGTGGGCGAGTATATTTTATGTTATTTAATAACTGGTATCAAAGACTTTTTTTTTTTTGGTGCAACAATTAATATCAAAGATTAAATTTCACTTAAGAGCTTTTTTTTTTATCATTCAAAATTAATTAAAATTCAAAAAAGTCATTCTACTTTTTTTTTTTTGCCAGCCTCAGTCATTCTACTTACGAACTCCTATATACTCCCTCTGTTCTTAGATATTTGATGTTCTAGAGTTTTAGTTTGTTCCACAAAGTTTGATTTTTTAGATTTTTATTTTATTTTTTATTGATTAAAATTAATATATCGTAAACTTCAAGACGTAATGATTAACTGTTTTCTAATACTATTGGTTCAAAGTTATTAAAAAATATTTAGTATAAAAAAGTAATTGACAAATAATTAAACAATTATTGCTTATTAATATATGTGAAAACTCTAAAACATCAATTTTTTAGGAACAGAGAGAGTATAAAATTTTATTTTATTTTTTGGTATAAAGGACTTCTATGTATCTTACCGGAGGAAATTTGGTGGATGCACATGTCTACTATTTCTTGAGTAATTGTTAAAATAATAACTTCAGAATTTGCGTGAAACGGGGATATGCGTGAAATTGGAATCTTTGGTTTCTTGAAGGAATAATTTAGTCGTTTTGAGAATTACTATGTGCCTATAATTGGTCGCTCTTCTTCAAACTTTTTTTCGTACTTACTTAACTTACCAAGAAAACAACTACATTTTATATTATAGTGAAAATAATCCAAGTTACATATAATGTAAACATAACGTAACTAGATCAAGATTGATGAGGTGGATTAATGACATGGATAATCAAATTTTTATTTATTATTTTTAATTAAAAGCGAAATAAAAATTATTAATTAAAAAAAACTAATGAAGGATGTTAATTGTAATTACACAAATGTTCAAAACATATGAATAATTTTTAAAAGATATATGATATTCTAATAATAAACATACTTTTCTATAATATCTGAGTAAATTTTTCTTTATATTATAGTGAAAATAATCCAAGTTACATATAATATAAACATAACGTAACTAGATTAAGTGATGGTATATCGTCTTATGTGTCTTCCAAAACTTTTACAAGAACTCACTTAACACGACGTCACTAATACATTCTTTATTTTTTTTACTAGAAACTTTTACAAGACCTTCCATAATTGGATTAACATGACATCACTACTACAAACAGGGCCGGTCCTGGACTAAAGCTAGTAAAACCCTTGCTTTAGGCGCCCAAACATATATATAGATTGAAAGGGCATCAATTTTTTAAGATAACTAGTAGTGCAGTGGTTGACGCTTTATTAATTGTTCCTCTGGTGTCTAGTTCAAACCTCAAAACTGTCTTTGGTTTTGCTTTGGGCAACAATATCTATTAGGCCGGCCCTGACTACGAACGCCCTCTTTATTTATTTTTTTATTTCTTTTTTGAATGTACACTAATTCACTCTTTAACTCGTCACTAACTAGTTCCTAGCTAACTAACACACGAAAACTTGAGATCAACACCATCATGCGGAATCATCCACCGCAAACCACATCACAAAGGAGATGAAAAGGACCACCAGATACAAACTCAGCTTCGTCTTGACTCCTCGTTGGGAGGATTCATACCCGCTTTTTGGTTCATTATGTTCGAATTAATCTCTGAAAACAATTTCAACTGTGGACCTTCTTAAAGTGCCAACTACTTAATTTTCATCTTCTATTTTGCACAGCCCTAACACACAATTTTTTACCTCCGTGTAAAAGCCTCGGTATGATTAATTGATATATATATATATATACCTTTTAACAAAAAGAATCTGTTGAAGACACATTTTCTTTTTCTATCTCATTAGCCAAAACATTTGGCTCTCTCTAAACAGGCAGCCAGTTAAATCTTAAATAACATGATCTCTTTTTATGCATCATAGTCATGTTTACAACGTCGATACCTTACCTTTATGATTTATTATAGGCCAACATTCACAACATTTATAAGAAAAAAAAACATTAACAACATATTTAAGTTAAGATTCTTTGTTTTTTTTAACTTAAGATTCTATCTCAACTTATACATTTTTTTATTTGGTCAAACTTATCAACAAATACATAAATAACATCTTGGGAGTTTAATGGTCGCCAAATTGAAATTTGGAGTAAAAAGTATAGTGAGTCAGACATGTATAAATGTATAACTTTCTTTATTTGGATGGTCCAGGGATCTTGTGCTAATAAAAATCAATAAAAAAACATGTGAGAACTGGTCTGGATTTATGGACCACTCGCTTATCTAATCTAATTTAGCCAATTTTTATTTCTTAGTACTATATACTGCTTAGAAAGTTAATCACGTCCAAAAGTATAAATCTATATCGACATAAGGTTTAAATATCCATCAGGTTTTAAAGAAAACAATACCGAAGTAGTAAATTTATATCTACATGATATGAGTACGGAATAAATTAATTTGAATAATCTATATGCAAATGCCATAATGATTGCTTTCTAAAAATATATCCAAATACTGAATAGTCGACTAATCTTCACTTTTTGTCGAAAAAATATAATTGATTTAACTGAATAGAATTCCACAAAGTACGAAACTTGATTTCATATAGAGGATTAATTAGTCTAGACTAGAGCATAAGGACATGGTAGTATATATCCTCAATGTCGAAATTAATCTAACAAACTTAATGATATTAGTTGGTTCATCTTCATGATTTGACGGTTTTAAAAGTAAGATGGTAAACAGTTAAAACCGGTTTGGTGGGCTGTGGCAAGACCTGTATCATGATGTTCGAGTGCATTTTGTTTTATACCAGTCGAAAACTAATTAAATCTAAACGAATTGTTTGAAAACATTAATGAAGCAAAAAAAACACACACACATATACATCACTATAAGGGTTCATACTAATAATATACACATCGATCTCCACTTTCTAAATTCAATAATTAGAAATTTATCCGATAGTATATATAAATAAATAAAAATCACGAAAAAAATAACAAAGTCAGGAAGAATTAACACAGATTTAATTTGTTCAGTACCTCAAACCACACACATGTTATAATTATTTATATATGTGGAACAATATATGAAAAGATAGAAGAAGCTGGTTGGAGAAGTAAAAAGATGACATGAGAATTAAGGGAAATCAAACCGATGGAAGAATTAATTATCCGGCGAGGATTTAGGTCCTCCTTTGCCATGATGATGATTAGGTTTCTCACCTTCGAGAACTCGGTAACGATGCAAGTACTTCTTGAGCTGGGTGGCGTAATCATCAAACCCTAGATTTGCCATAGCCCAACAGATATCGTCTCCATTGACGGTCTTTCGCTTCTCCTTGTGACATTTATCGGATGCTTCTCCGGTGACGAAGCTAATGAACTCGGAGACACATTCTTGCATAGTCTCTTTGGCTTCTTTGGAGACCTTTGCGTTTGGTGGGAGAATGTTCTTCATGATCCTTCCTACGTTTGCTATCGGAAGTAGCCTGTCTTGTTCTTTTATCATCATGCTTTCTTCTTGTTGTTGATCCTCCACCACCACTAAGCCATCATGTTGATGTTGATGTTGATGATGAGACGAGCTGCTTGCGAAGTTATAATTCTGGTATCGAGGGATTGGATTTTGGAACGAATCCATCAAATTTTATAATTAAAGCAGAGGATAGATTTCGTTTTTTTTTTTAGGGCAGTATGCAATCTGATATAGATTACAACGATTGACATATACTGAAACTTTCAAACGACAATATGTAATTTGCCAAACTATATATATGGCACACACAAAAAGAAAAAAGAAAAAGAGGAGAGGTTTTTTTACATAATGTGTTTATGTATACATCTGAAAAATATTCGTTTTGACAGAGATCTGTGTAGTTAAATTAGCTTCATATATAAGTAGAAAGACAAGAGAGCTAATTAAGGAGTATCTACGTATGTTTGTTTGGTCAGAGAATGCAGGTGACGTGTCATACCACCAATAAGAGTGGTCTAGGTCACTGGGGAGACAATGTGGCAGGTCGAGCTAATTTCTCTTTTTTTTTTCTTTTTTTTTTTAATCATAATTTTCACTAAATATTTTTTCCTAAATCCTTTTTCGGTTAAGCGTTTTTTAAAAAAAAAATTTATTGAGCTTTTGATTTGTTATATAGTCCTTCCGTTTCTTCTTATTTTATTTGTGGAAAACAAAATATGTGTTCACCAAAATAGTTTGGGGTTGATGTTAGCCTAAAAGGGAAAGGTGGCTTTAGAGTTTTGGTCCTGCTTAAGTCAAATACCGTCTATCTATGGATTGACTCTAGGTAGTCTGGATTCTGGAAACTCCTCTTCTCAACCAAAAATTATTCGACATTTCTCTTTAATTAGTAGTTTAGTACCCTATACAAATTATCTTTTGAAATTTGTTTTCCTTCTATTCACTCTTGGTTACAAACTCAAAACGAATCAACCTCATGTAATTCAGTATTGGTTTAAATGTGCAACGTCTAAACATTATTATTCATAATCCCAAACAAAAAAATAACTGAAATTCAAATTAAACGCCATTAGTATTGTGTAACCATGAAACATTTCTTATTTGATATTTAAGATGACATGAAACGTCATATAAACAGTTTAAACAGATAAGAACTAAGAGTCACTTTAATAAACAATAATATCGAACTTGTGGACCATATAAAAGCACGTCTTGTGGTCTATAATTAGTAGTCTGCTTACCAAAATTGAAGAGCCTATATATAGGTAGTTTGTTACTTCTCTTTAAAGCATTGAAATCAAATTAATCTGTTACACCTCTCTTTTTGTTTTAGAAGAAAATGTTGTCCTCTCTCAGTGTTCATCATGTGAATTTTACAGATAAACGACGACCCTTTATTTCCTCTTACGTGCTTTATCTCTCTTGGGTTTTGTTATTCATATACACTTTGACAAATTTGAGTTTCGATGCAAACTCAGTTAAGATTTAGAACTAGTCACTGACATTTTTTGTTAAGTTTATTAGCTATTTTTTGTTAAGTTTATTAGCTTTCAAATTAAAATAAATTAATAATGACCAAATTTAATCATATTTTTATATGTTCTCTTTCCCATATTATATGATGTTTAAAAGATTTATTTTTTGTTTCATTTTATAACAAGTTTCACAAATTTTATGCAGATTTTAATGTTAATTGCTATTTTAACTCTTTGACGGAAAAGAAGAAGAAGATATTTTGACTCTTTTAAATTTTACAGTTCTTTTTATGATTGGCTGATTTATATATTCAACTAATTATGAACTAATGTTATATTAAAAAATATAGATTTTTGATTCTTCGTAAATTTATTTAAAACATTTTTTATTTAAGAAAAAAGAGAATATTTCATTTTACTTTTCACAACATTTTTGAAATACATTAAGTTTTTTTCTTATCCATCTGGAACTCAATTAGAGATAATATCACTCACTTGAATCAAACTACCATTTAAGGGCTTGATTGGTTCTCCCGCTAGCACCCTTCTAGCGGTTGCTAGCGGTCGGTTGCGGTTGTTAGCGGTTGGTACCAATCATAGAAACCGCTCCGTACCGCTTCAAACCGCTCGAAATCGCTGAATTTCAAAAGCTCTTTCCCGCAAGCGTTTGCGGTTGCGGGCGGTAGCGGTTGGATTTTTTAAAAAAAAAAAAAAAAAATCAAACGTTTACTTATAATTATTATAAAATATATTAATCATATATATATCTTTCATCTTTGTATCACGTTCTCATCAGAAACCCTAATCAATATTCTAAAACCTTATTTTCTTATGTCTTCCACCCAAACTGATGAAAATCAATTTGAATATTTTTTTCTTTCATTATATATTGCTTTTCTTTTTGATTGAATATATGTTTCGATTTGTTTTCTCGAATAGAAAATTACTTGCTTTTTGATTGAATTCAACGTTATTTACAGTTTGTCCCATTACTTGATACAATTTTTGGTGTTAACGACCCAACATAAAGTACTATCTTATTATAAAATTTTTTATTTTTGAATAATTATTTAGTACTTTATTTATGGTTTTAATTATTAAGCATGTTCAATTTTTCTAATATTATCATAATAATATATTGGTGTTTTTATTTCTTTTTTTTTGTAATATTTTTTATTTTTTTTGTCATTTTTTATTTAACTGCTACCGCACCCGCTGGTTTAACAGTCATAAAACTTCCGCAAACGCATCCATTTTCAAACGCTAAACCAGTCGTTCAAAACGCTTGGTAACGCTTGAAACCGCAACCGCCCGCTTCCGCAAACTCCCGCAACCGCAACCGCAACCGCTGCGTTTAAACCAGTCAGACCCTAAATTGTATGAAATTTCAAATAAAAATTAATAATATATTTCTTTTTCTCTTATATGTGACTTTATTTTTTAGACGAAAATAAATTATATCCACAAAACTGTTATTTAATTAGTTAACTAACTATTTATATTTTAAAATTAAAATTAATTTCATTCGATAAATTTTGTAAATTCTGCATTATATTGACTATTGAGGCGTAAACATTTACAAGCTTTGTCGCCTTCTTATGGATGAGAATATGAGCTGTTTAACAAAGCATTCCCATTTTTTAATGCATCGGATGTATATCTGGAAAAAAATAAATGTAAAGATAGATTTTTAAATTACATAAAAAATGATTTTACATAATTTTAGAGAGCATGGTGTTCTAGAAGTATGATATTTTGGCTATTATTTTATTTTATTTGTTTTCCCGAAAAACCTAAGTCATTAGTTAAATATTACACAGCTATAAGTATGTAAAATCATTATTAAAGTGAGGACAAGTGTCGGCCGATGGTGGATCGGACCACCTTGAAACGGATAAAATAATTTTGAACGTCTTTAGTTATTAATTATGCATGATGACGTTCATAGCATTTCTATATTATAAGTAGTAATTATTACTTGCTCATTAAATTGGTTAATAACTATATCTACATCCTAATCAAAAAATGAAATTGACTCGTCATAAGTGGTTTCAAACGGTTTAAGGTTGTAAAAGCATTTTGATCGGGTAGAAACTTTGAAAGTTTCTCAAAAAAAAAAAAAATTATTATTTTAAGATTATAATTTTAAAATTTTTTTTTTATTAATTAGCCTATTAGGACTATAACATGTGGCAGTGACATCATAGAACTCTCTTCTTTTTATAATTTTTTATTAATAAATGTCTACTCAAGATATTTTGATGGAGATGGTCTAACTATTTAGTGAAACTAGCTAGCTTGGTTATGATTAAATGGAAGTTTATTTTTCGAATCCTATACCAAAAGTGTGTTTAGTAAAAACCTATTAATGATGTGCCTTACTTAGGTAAGAACCGGGTAAGAATAACAATGTACAGTGTAAGAATAACAATGTACAGTAATTAAGAACGAATAACTGTGTATATAAAGTACGTGTATTTGCTGGAAAGTCATGGAGAAACATATACTAAAGCATTAGTTGTTGAAAACATTAACTCATGTATATATAAATATATAGTACAAATTTTAAGATATTAAATTCTAAAGTTGGTCAATAAAATAACACCTTTGTGAAATGTTCTCTCAAATATGGCTTGAGAAAAAAGCAAACTACTGATTTTTTTAAGTTGTTAAGGAATATATTATCGATTCTCCAATATCTAAAATTAAATCGGAAACGCATATATTTATTCATGTCGAATATAAAAGCTGGTATGGTCATGCAATATTAATCTAATTAACATTAGCATATAAGTAAGCAATAGATGTTTCATGGCATTTTTATTGCCCCCACTTGTGTAAAGATCGAGTTTAGTGAATCTATTAAGCGTGCGAGTAGCTTTGTGGGTGGTCCATGCAATTAAACTTATTGTTTCAGTACAAATTGTTAGTCTGTCTTTTACTTCTTTTAATTAGACTTTTCTTTTTCTTTTTTGTTGTTCTTACTTCTTAGTTTTCTCTCGTTATTCGACAAGAATCCAAACTATACACACAGCACCTCAACTGGCGAAATTGTTTAATACTTGTCAAATATGTTGACTTGACCCAGACCCGGGAATGTATTTGGAGCGTGATCACTGGGCTTCAGCATATGGGCCAGTTGATGATCCACTGAAAGGCCCGTTGGCTAAAAGGATAAACAACTCCATGCCCCATGGGCCTGTCTCCACTACTTACTACTTTTCTTTTGTTATTTTGCCCCAACTTATTAATTTCATAATTACGGTTCATTTTCCCTAAGTAGCACAGTATGCTTAGATAGGAAAATAAACTAGCAACTAATGAGACTCCATTGAAACTTAAAGAAATAGGGTAAGAACTTTGTATAATCCCTTCGTCCTGGGATCCTTGTAAGGATTATAATTTTACATATCCAAAAAGTAGATGTTAGTACCCCATTTTGGACATCAATTCAAACAGACACCCATGAAAGTTTTAATACTAGACTAGTACTTTTGATTAAAGCTTTAATACTAGTATTAAAACTCCATTTTTGCTATGCGTAAAAATATTGTTGGAAATTATTTCTCTATACATATTAAATAAAAAGGTAACAAGAAAAATGAAAAGAATGTTTCAAATCGGTAAATTAAAAAGAAGGACCATCACCATCACAATGCTTTTTGTTAAACAGTCGGGTTATTATTATAAGGGCTTCGATTCAAGTTTGGGCTGTGTTGTGTATATGCCGAGAATGATGATAGGCGCTTATTGGGGCGTTATTTGGACATCGATCGAGGATCGTGCGCTTATTAGCCTCAATTTTGGGCTCCCTTTAATATTATTATGTAGTAATGAAAATAAGTCGTTGAAAGTTTTTAACTATTTTATCTTGCTACCCAAACAAACGTACACCTATAAAGAAGATTATTTACAAAAGGCTTGTACGGAGTTGTTAGACACTATAGTGTTATTAATATATTATTATGACACCTTATAGTGTTATTAATATATTATGACACCTTAATAGAAAGAAGAATATAAATGAAACAGTAT